GAAAACAATATTGTTCGCTTAAATGTATTGTTATAAATATGTTAATCAACCTCAGGATATTCGAAGCACTTCACCGGGATGTTGTACGCGAGTCTCCACGTGGTGCAACATACATCCATAGAGCGGCTTTCTAGGTTTCTGGTCAAATCTTCCTGTTGTCCGATTTGCATCAGCCTGTAAACATTTTAGGCGGAAATCTTAAACATGACACACGGTTACAGAATAGCTGTTACATATTGCACAGGAGTCCAGTTTTTTGAAGGCAGCTAACTGGCAACTTGAAGCAGTACTGATAGACTCGAATTTCAGAAGGCAATGAATAGTTGACGAAGGTAAATATTTTGAAAAAACATAATGGGGATGAAAATAAAATAAAACTGACATATAGACCTAATTTTCTATATGTCTCTCAACACACTTATTGATCTACGACCTAATTTCCTCTCACTCTGCTTGTGGCCTTTGAAATCCTATTGGTTGTTCACTGTTTAATTTATCAATGGCATTAGTGCCTCTCAAGGTCATTTTAAACATATACATATACGCAAGTGCTGTCAACTTTTTTAACTGTTGTTTTGAGACTTTAAAAGCTCTCTTATCAGCGTGCAGTCTTCTCTTGTACCCTTTGCGAGCCGGCGGTATTATTGTCGTAGTTGTTGACAAATTAACCTGAGCATTAAGTCAGTATTCGCTCATAGTCAACAAGATCGTAGTTCTGGTCATAGAAAAAATGATTAATATAAGGGACAAAAGTACAATGATAAAAGATCGAATTGCTGAATATACGATCGGTGAAATAATTTGTGAGTATGAATGTGAGAAAAATTTTCCACAAATGTTTGTCCCATGATTTGCTTGAGGGTTTAGATACTGGTAGGACTCCCAAACCGAATCAGGTAGTTGTCTTAAGAAACTACGTACCGAGCTTTTAAACTGAAGTCTAATTCACAAAGCAGGAGAGTGGAGTCACGAGTAGTGTTCCCATAGTTGCCAGTGCTTAAATCAAGTTCATACACCACCCATTCCTTTCGTACTCTAGAGTCCATTTGGAACAAGTATATTCGACTGAGTTGGGTTGACTCTTATGTTCACCAATCTGGTGAAAAGCGCCGAAAATCTGTTTTCTATCTTTTCACGTTTTTGAGAACACCCTCCTGCCCCTGAAAAGTTGTGAATAGGACCTACCTACCACATGAGAATGTTTCTAGAGGAAGACCGGAGTCGATCCAACCTCGACTGTACCACGTCATTGATGTAGGTGAAAATAACTTGATAATTTCCGTTGTAACATCAAGAATATGAAATCAGCGAAGACACCCTCTTCAAAGCTTTCTAAACTAGGGAGGGTTACATGGCAAATAAAAAACACTACACAACAAGGTCAGAAAAGGTAGTTAAAACAGAATGTTTTTGTCACCGAAAAATGTGAACTACTGAAAGAGACAACTTAAGTAGCATTGGAAAACTGTTCTAAGTGAAGATTATAATAATAATAATAATTGAAAAAGCAAGACTGCAAAGATTAGTTTGACAGGGAGAAGAAAATGATAAGCAAATAACTGTTCTCCCCTCTTTCTAAAACCAAAGTAAGAAGAGAGACTCTACATATTTCTTTCTACACAAAGTTCTAGCTCCACTAAATGAACATCCAACGTCTTCGCTGTTTTACGTAGTTAGAAACGCAGATAACACAGGTTTGAATGAAATCAGTGAACAATCTGAAAATTATTATCACGATTAATTGAGTTTTGAAAGTTAATCAACTATTCTAATAGAGAACTTCACACAGTTTCAATTTCTTCCTTATAAAACCATACTAGTATATGCTTTTCCATCCGTAAAGAAAGCATTCTCTAGCTACACCCAGTGTACCTTACGCAACGGTAGCAGGTAAACTGGCAAATGCAAAGACAAGGGGATTTATCTGTCACATAAGTGGAGAACAACTACCTGCTAGTTGAAGCCAACCGGACTTTTTCAGAGAAGAGCGTCTTGCTGACTAACTTAGAAACCTGATCATAAAAATGGTTTTCTAAGAAACTGAGTAAGTGAGAAGTTTGAAATTACATTGCTTTATGTTTTTATTAATTAAACAATCGGGGTAGGAGTTTTCAGCAACCATGGCTTTCAGAACTGGAAATTTCTGTGTCTAAAGAGTATAAGCTACAAATTTTTATCATTTAACGTATAGTTTCTTTTTCTATAGATATACAGCCAACTATGAACATTGGCTAATGGTATATCTAACTTTCAGTGGATAGGTCTTTTAAGAAAAACGGAATGACTAATTCTGATTTCTTTTCTCGGGCAAATTTTAAGGATGTAATGAGTGAAAGCATCAGTGGCACAGTGGTTAGGACTCTCGCTGACCATGCACATGGTCCGGGGTTCGATCCCCTACCGATGCACAGCTGATATCTATCTTCTCTTGCTTCGCGTGCTACACGGAATGTGGCGACTTGAACTTCCGCACATTTGTGCAAAGTTCTATGTCGAAAACAGACAGACAGATATCTATGGTCGACCTGCAAAATTTGGGCTACCGATATCACATGCTGAAAATTATACACCTGCATCAAAAAATACGGTGTGGAATCAAGCTGAAATAATAAAAAGAATGTCTGCCAGACCAATATCCCTATCACAAGTTAAATGTGTGGTTTCTGTAGATATCAAGGCATCCAGTAGCTTAACAGGCTGAGTCTATTCCAGTTTGACATAAAAAAATTGTGCTAGTATTGGTTCTAGTGGTGATTCCGTCGCAATACACACACGCATTATTGAAGGTGGAGTGAACGTCGAATGGACAGTCCTACCTCGAAGTAGCCATTCACTGATTTAATGAATGCATTAGTCCTTTCATGACTTAATATACAATGACTTTCTTTATTCCAATCCTTTTTTTCTCTTATTTAGTTTTACGGGAATTTTCTTATCAATAATGCTTTTACACATCCGATGTGTATATTTCACGTTGAATTAAACTGTAGCCTTAAATCACATTCTGTTGTGACTGTGAGTGATCTATTGTCGGATTATTTTGAAAATATTCCTTGATCAGTTATATTCAACTATTTCATTCACTATCCTTAAACTAGGAGTGGATAGACATCAGTCCTGTAGCATCATCTTACATTTGACCAGCGTCGAATTGTTTGCCATACATATTCAAGGAGTTTAGAAAACTGCATTTTTTATAAATGCACTCAACTAGAAGCACAATATCATCCGTCAATCCCTAAGTTGTGAATGTCGACGAAAGTTACATTCATCGGTACATACGTGATGAAATAAAATTTAAAAATGGTGACATTTCGTATCCCTAAAGGACACCACTACAGATGATAACTCCCCATAAGCTCTTGCATAGCTGCATGAGTTTGATTGGACTGTCCTAAAGGGTGAAGATATGACTGATGCATTCCATATTAGATAAGTTTATTTGATGATGTTTCATTTCAGTGTATACACAGAAATTCCTGACTCGTTTTTTATAGCCCTGTCAATATTGATGAACATTGAACCATTTGTTTATTCGAATAGGTCTCCAATTGGCGGGAGACAAGATGGTTATCGTTGCTTAATCGTATACTGGTTGGCAGAAGACTACAGAAATACGATCAGAAGTATTATTGTACATCATACTAACGTTTATTTACAGACTTTGCTGACAGTAATTTGTAGATCTATTTCGTTACCGGTGGAAGAATAAACGATCGTATTACCCTGCCGTTTTCTACTGTTCCGCGTCAGTTACTGGACATAATATTCTGTACGTTAGGCATAGACTTCTGAAACCAGAGATAGGTCCAGAATCTTTGGAATAGAAAAATGAGACAATAGGACTATCAGTTGTTCAATTTTCTATATACTCGATATGGGCGTTACGTCATTTCGATTCCACGTGTTGATTCAAGGGACGGAAATTCGGTGATTGATCTCTCACTCTCTACCTACCTACATTACTTCTTAATACTTTTATCTTGCCTCACTCCATTGTGTGATTGCACGCAAGTGAATGCATTGCAATCGCCGAGTTTCTTTCTAGGTTATTTTAACTTAGCTAAATTCGCACGTTCTGATAATCCAGCTGACCCCGATCTACTAGTTTGACCTGATAGTCATTGCATGGTGTTCTCTATATTACGTCCTTAACTCGACAAAATTTGTTTCTTAGTATAGTGGTTGGTTAAAGTGTCATCCTAATCTTAGACTTAGTCCTACTTAGGGATACTGATGCTCCTCCTTAATATAGCCGTTCTATCAAGGCTTTGAATTCCTTACTATTTACATTATTCACACTACTACCCTTATTTTTCTAAAACATTTCTGGCTAAAATCTGGTGGGAGATTTAAATAAAGAGATCAAACAGATAAGATAAACAATCTTAGTGAATAACGACCCACCAGATTTTAGCCGAAAATGTATTAGGGCCCATAAGTAAAATATACGGGTAGTAGTGTGAGCAATGTAAGCTATGAGGGATTCAAAGCCTCGATAACACTGCCATATAAAGAGGGAGCACCAGAGGCTTCAAGTAGGAGATTCCTAATAGTGCTAAAATACTAGAGAGAGAGAGAGAGAAAAGGTAATGAGACTACCAGTAGACGAACATGTTTGAAAGAAAAATAAACCCCACAGAATCTAATAATGTTTAGCATTTTAACGATAAATAATGAATACATCCACGGGTCACTGGATAATTTAAGCCATATCACTCATAATTTTCAGTTGATGATATTTTTCATCCGAAGGAATAGTCACGCGTGTAACGTGAAAATTGACTGCTACTGTGGCTTATTGACTTAAACCTCTCAACGTTCAAGAAATATACACGTGGATAATATTAACTTTAAGTAGATTTTAGTGCACTGAATAAACTCTAATCGTACTAACACGTATACGTACATGAAAGAAAAAATTTGATATGAAATTCAATTGTGAAAACAGTGTAAAACTGAGTATTTTTGGCCACCTGATGATTATCAAGCTATTCAGTTATTACGGAGTTCTTTATTTCAGTTTTAACAAACAAGCAGTATGCACACTACTGGTTATCACTACACAACAGACATAAGTTACAGTTGAATACAACAACTCATTCATTAGTTAGTTACAGAAGAGAACCACCATCAGAGAATTGTAATAGCTTTAATCTTTATTTCAATAAATCATCATAATAGCAATAGTAATTGCAATAATAATAATAATTTAAACAGTTGAAAGAGTAGTATTTGTTGTAATATGTGCAGAAAGTTGAAGACACTAGACTACTCTTCCCCTTTGTATACACATACAATTCATGATAAACACTTTTAAGTGTGTGTATATATATATCTATATGATAATATAAGCATGTGTCATACATGCATAAACATGCTCACCTTTTAATATACAACAATCTCTCTGTCAATAGTATTCAACAGGTAGCGAAACAAACACGCCTCACTTTCAATTTCATACAAGGAAATGAAAATTATCACCATGTTGTTAGGAAAATATTGAACAAAGAAGACAGAATGAAATAAAAAAAGGGGAACACGTAATCAAATTACGCATGCACAAAAATAATACCGTGAAGAAGAAGAGGAGTAAAATAGTAAATCAGACATCCAGAAACCTCTTTTTTTATCCCCTCCAGTGTATATACTACTCAGCAAAAAAATAAAATCTGCTTGATCACAAAACAGCAGAAGTATGTGGAAGTAATATTCTTTTCCTTCCTTACTTTTTAATAACCTTTACAAATCAATTTAATTAAACATTGGGTAGCACTGTTTTTTTGGCACAAAGCAAAAGTTAAAAATAAAAGATACAAGGAAGGAAAGAAGGAGAACCAAATTACAAAAAAAACAACTATCCCTTGTATGATACATACATTTACATCCCGTTGAATTCCTCTCTATGACTTTTACAAATGTTAAAGTCTCTAATAATCTTTAGGTATTACTTATAGTACTCATTTAAATATAAAGTAGTATAGTTATAAGGGGTGACAAAAACTGTAAACTTGAAAAGAGAACAATGGGACAGCAATTGTAGTGTGAGCGAATAAATTTTCTTTTAAATAAAAATAAAATAAAGAATGTGAAGTAGAATTTTGAAACTAAAAGAGAGAGTACATAGCAAGAAGTTGGACATATTTAGTCACTTCTAGGAACTCGTGTTTTCTGAACGTTAGCCAACCACAAGAACGACTCACGATGACTTTCATCAAGATTAGCAGATGCCGATGATATTTTTTGATTTTCATGATTACGATTTCCATTATTCAGCTTACTTTTGCGTGGAGATGATGATAACAGGACTAGTTTACTACCCATTACACCTGATGTTACTTCAGCTACAACTCTTGGTACAGATGAGACAAAGGAAGGTGGTTTATTAAAGTCGATACGTTCATTGACACGCAGCTGACATCCATCAGCCAATAATGTACGTACAACACGTAGTATATTAATTGCATCATCCAGACCACGATGTCGTTGACCAACAAAAGATAAATTTAAATCATGCAACATAACATTCAATGTTATGCGATAACGTGCTGGAAACTTGTAAAAGGTACGAAATGCTTTAGTCAGATTAATCCATATATTAGCCCAACTAGGCAAAGGTATATTAGCCAGACGACATTGAATACGCATAAATTTACTCATGTCAGCGTTACAATCACAGACGATAGCACACCTCATGTTAGCTAACTGATGCTGCTTAAACAGCCACTCTTCAATTTGTAGTAAAACATGAGGAAATGGTTGAGCATTATCCACCTGAACTTGATGAATCTGGGTTAGATCTGTACAGAATTCACTTAGATCAGGATGTAATTTCGGTTTACAATAAGCGTGAAATACACTCACACACTTACGTAATCTTGTGTTGTATAATAATATGGGAAATTCAATGATCTCATGTGGATAATCAGCATCACTGATGATTTTCTCCCTTGATTCACAGGTAGCTTCTAAGTCGATTATTAGTAGATAGGAATAAAATGTATCTGGTGTCAGTATAACCGGTTTTGATAATTTTGTCATTGCATTGATCGGTGATTTTTTCAATTTAATTTTATCATTTCCACTAGTGTTAGTTATTTGTGAGTTTAAGTTCACCTCACCGAGAACACTGCTTTCATGATTAGCATTATCGATACTGTTTTCAACGTCTCCAGAATTATCATTATCATCATCACTGAATTGGATCTCAGTATTATGATCAATTGACTGAGCTACACGTGCTCGTCGTACAAACTCTTGCAAGCGACGTTTTAACACAGTTCCACAGCCCAGTTGATTTAAGCCATGATCGTGTAGACAATTACGTAGAACATCCATGGACATGTTATGTATACGGTTATTACATTGACTTAGACGATCCCGTAGGAATATAGACCACATCTCTGTAATAATTTGTATCCCAGGTGGAGAAAATGCGAGTGATGTTGAAGAATATGGTAAAGATGTTAGATTATTACTAAAAATTGCACTACTTTCACAATCTAAGGGGATAAATTTCCCATCCTTATTTCTAACAGGTCCTAGATAGGCATCAGCAATCGATGTCCTAGCTAACAATTCTTCTAAATTGTACAAATCAATATCTGATATCGAAGACTCTATGAATGACGATGATGCAGATGGTGATATCAACTGTTTATCTGTCTGATTTTTGTCCACATTATTTAAATCTGTTACAGGGTGTTGATGAAGATGTTGCATGCTGTTTTCGGTTGTCTCATCTCCAAACAGACTAAATGAAGTGTGAAATGTATAACAATTATTATCAAATACCTCATCACCATTACCCGTAGTAAAGTCCGGCATGTAATTTGAAGGTTCACTAGTTGACTGATCCATACTATACGAGCAGTTGGAATGAACTGGATAGAAAAAAGGCTGAGTGATAGGATCCACAGGAACAGTAAACGAATGGTCGTTAAGACTTGAAATGGATGAGTGTTGGGAAGAGCTTGTTACTGAGGGGAAATAAGATCCATGATACTCGAAGGTAGAATATTCTTGGTGATAGGGTGAACAATAAATATGTACAAAAGGTGAGGAAGGCTGAGTAATATTTGTCGACTGGTTGTTCTCTGTAAATGTTGCAGTAGGAAATTCGAGTGGACAGGATGTTATACTAGTTATGGGGTAATTTGTGCTACTTGCAGGGCAGTAGAATAGTCCATCGGTAAAATCATGATTTGGTTGCAAATTATTAGAAACAAGACTCGAACTAATATATGTATCACTGGATGATGGAAATTCAGAGACAGGTGTTTTATGAGTTGTAGGAATACAAAATTTCTTTGAGAAATTTGACGGAGAGACCAAAGAGAATGAAGATGATGAAGGGAGGGTATACACTGGATAGCTGTTGATATGCCTTAAATCAACACTTGAAGAACATATAACGTGTGAAGGAGGAATGTCTTGATTTAAATAAGGTATATGTAGACCACTGTCGTTTACATTGGATATATAACCGTTAGCATATTGATTCAATGGATAGATATTGTCATAACAACAGTATTGAGATACAGAATTGTTAACATTTGGAATATCAACAAAATGATTTACACCCACATCGATAGTATTTGTTTGCTAAAAAATTAATGAAAAGACGGATAATATCCCATAGCAAAACTTCACATTCTATAATAAAGTATTAAGCGTTGAACACTGAAAAGCACTAGACAACTATTGATTTCATTCTAGTTTGTAGGTTACCCAGTATCTAAGTAGATGGAGTCAACCCCCTTAGCCTGTCAGACAGAAATAATATAGCAAACTCATCAGACTGTAGTTTAGTGACTGACACTCTACTTTATTTAATTAAACAGAGAGGTCAGCTTATACATATTTTGAATTTTCTACTCTTACGAACAAAACTCCGTTTCCTAGTGCTTACTTTATAATGATAGCCACTTCGATAAGATATTCATTAATAGAAAAGATTTGTAACTCAGGTGGATGATTTGCAATTAACAGTGTTCTCTGAGCTGGTTGGTTTAGTTGCGGAGCTTTCATCGTCTTTCTGGACGACATCTTCAGCGCAGTATTTAGGACAAAGTGAAATGATTTAAATTTCTTCATGAGCGATATCATTGCGTCTCCCGGTAACCAGAAAGTTTAAAATCCCAATCAATAGAAAACGGTCAATACATATCTAAAGATGGTTACCAGGAGACGTAATTATATCACTCATGAAGAAATTTAAATCATTTCACTTTATCCTAAATACTGCGCTGAAGGTGTCGTCCAGAAAGACGACGAAAGCACCGCAACTAAACCAACCAGCTCAGAGAACACTATTAATCGCAAAAGATATTCATTACTCAATGTTCCTAGATTACATAAGACTGTTTTATCAAGTTTCACAATTTATCCATTTTTTTCCTCTTGATTTGGATATTTTGTATGTTTCGTTACCAACTAACATAAAAAGAATTGATCTTGTTGGTATTCACTACGAACTTGTAAAAAATACTACTGAATTGTACGAAAAGTTACGTAAAGAATATTCCCTGCTGATGTGTCTTTTTAATTTATATCACACGGGCATTCTACCCAATAGTAAAAAGGAGACTACTAACCACGATGTTCTCCCCTTTATCTAACAAAAGATTGAATCGAAAACATACCTTAAAATAAGGAAATCTACACACTTGAACAACAAATAAAAAGTAGAGATTAAGTAGAAAACGCAACCTAAAGCATGCAACAGTTTTTGGTGACATTTAGATACATTAAGCGACAACAACAACAAAAGATGCCTTCGAACAGTTATTGAGTGTACACACACATATACGTATCATAAGGAGATCAGAAATCAAATTAAGCAGTGATATTATTATGCAATGCTTCGTGATTATTATACAAACATGCCACTACACAATTAAAGATAAGAACAGCAGAGTCAACTCACAATCGACTGGATCTGTACACTGAAAAACAAATATGCAAATGATCCAACTTCGATATTCGAATCAGATATGATATGAACTAAATCATAATACTTACTACCAAAAAAAAACTAACATGAAACTAGGTATGGATAGAAAACGATTACAAGCGAAAATATTTTCCTACTGTAGTGTTTCTCAAAGATATTAAACTAAATTAATTCGTGGTAATGTTTACAGAATTGTAAGTTATCAATGAGAGAAATGTGGCCTAAATTGCATTAGTAATACTTTACCTCAACAACAACAACTAGAAATCATTGATATGACATAACACTAAAAATGCACTGGTCCAGGTTGCCACATGTCTTATCTAGTATACAGAGGAAAATACTAAAGAAAAGGACGGGAAAACTAAACTAATACTTCAGTGTCGTATAACACTATATGATGTTGTATTTAGTGAATACTCCACCGTATCTTAAAAATGCTGATAACTAAAATAGTTAAAATGAAATTGATAATCCCCAATGAGACAAAAAACAACTCAGCGAAGAAAATTCTCTTTACTACGATTCATATGAGTTATTAAGAAGACAGTTGCAGCGAAGAAAATTTTCTTTTCGACGAAGTCATCATCTAGGCTGTACATTCGTGTATTTATATCAAATGGAGGGGGAAGTTCCAGAATAATTTCCGGTTAAGGGTCAAATTAATAAAAATTAAGATTAGGAATTAGAATGCCATAATAATCAGGGGGACGGATAAAACAAACAAAGTAGCATCATAATAACTAAGAAGATTGACATTGTGCAATTAGGGTTAGAAATGTAGAAATTTGACCCTTAACCGGAAATTATTCTGGAACTTTCCCCTCCATTTGATATAAATACACGAATGTACAGACTAGATGATGACTTCGTCGAAAAAAAAATTTTCTTCACTGAAACTGTCTTTTTAATAATTCCTATGACGATTCATATATATATGAATTACAATAAACTAAAACAATCAGAAATTTTCATAGAAAACGAGTTTTCCCTACGCTTCGTAGAGGCCAATAACAGATTACGTGGAGAAAATACAGGGAGGGGCAAGGCAGCTAGAAAAGTGTTGCAATTAAATTTAGAGTTTAGGTACTTAAAAATCATTTGATAAATTCATTTAGAAAAACGTTCTTTGCTACAACTTTACGGAAAACCTTCTCTAGCCGTCCACTAGTGCACCTTAATGTTAAGGAAATGTTACCTCGATTGTCTGATTCTATGTATATTTATATGTTCACCTGTTCTTGTAGAGTTAGGTTAATAGGACGTTTGTCGAGCACCTACCAGCTTAGCTGAGCAAAGTAGAGAGTAAGAGAGCAACATACAGAAGATAGTGACCACGCAGCATCTGATACATCGTTTAATATATTCCACAAAGTTCACCGAAAGGAACACGAGTGCATTTGCTTTGTATAGCACAGACCTTGGCTATACAGTTTGTGCGATTTCTTTCGTTATCATGGTCTTTATTTTACTAATTGATTCACCAAAGCGTTGTTATGCTTCTATATTCCATGTTCCATTTTTGTTTCACTTTATATTATCATATTCTAACACTTCATTTAATCTACTATTTTGACATTTCATTCATCTTATGTCTCCGTGATATTATGCTCACACTGAAATTTTCTTATCATCTACTTCACACATGTCTATTGAACTTTAGGTTGATCTTTACCTATTTGGTTATTCATTCATATATCTAATCAACCAGATATACCAATATTATCGCACTTTAGTATTTCCACTCACTGTCAAACTTTAACGCACATAAACATACACGAAAAATGAAAGTTATTGTCTATTATATATACATATATATATATATATATATATATATATATATATATATATATACGATTGTACAGCTATGGAAATGAAATCGCCCAAAAGAGAATTTTCTTCTTCTTTTTAAAAAGAACCATTGAATACCAGGGAGTACTGGTTCTATGAGTGATATCAATCCATGAGTCAAACTCGTAAAAACAAATCTAATCCTTATAAACCAACTCTTGAAACTGTAAATGACAAAACATAGTTGATACCTTGTTATACAACTGTATAATAATGAAATTGCAGTTGCATATCACTAAAAACATACCAGAGGAACACGCTTTTCAATTATGAGGACTGAGCTAAATTCAACAGCAAAATTTATATCATAGCATACAGAAAATATTGAAATCGAACGCAAACCAGCCATTATAAGAGACAGTCTATTAGGAAACGAGTCACATAAGTAATGCGACAAGAGATACGACCTGACTTTTCATACCTCAGTAAGTGGAATAAAGTTTGAGCCTGTAAACTCGGTAAGTGCGAATTGAATGCTTAGACTGATGGATCTCATCACCAAGGGTAACTTTGTACATTTGTGAGACATCCATCAACAATCTATTTATTACTTAGCATAAAACATCAAGGAATATGCCACGAAAATAACAAGACAACAAAGATGAAATAAAGTAGCTGCGGAAGTGAATTCCGGAGTTAGCAAATTATACGGTATGGAAACCACTGGATTGACATTACCGTTACATGACCAAATCACCAAAGCTGGTATCCTAAGTTGATATCACTTATTGAAAGGTGATGTTCATCACAACCGAACACACCCCAAAAAACCCTAGAATCGCCTACACTGAGTGCAAGTAATCCTACAGAGACATCACAGAGTGAATACATGGTCAACACAAATCCTTAACTATGCAGCCAAATTTTACAGGTGGGGAATAAGATTACAAGCACTAAAGTTTAGTGAACTCGGCTTTGGTGGACAGATTGGTGTCACAATGGTACTACAGGTAAACCAGATATATATAAACCTCTCTGCCTTCTACTATACAATCGGAAACTTTTATCCGTTTCACCTCCTCAAGCACTCATACAACTACATGAATACATGTACTTTTCAACTATTTTTATACATTTATTTGCTAAGGTGAGCTCAGGCTCCTCCCAATTTCGAAGCACTTGGACATTGCAAGCGCATATCACACTTACAAGTAATGATCGCCAACTGATCTGGTACATTTTAGGTAGATCATGTGTCATCGTACAGCAAGACGATAATTTCTGCATACTCAAGGTCAATCTCAATCTCCCATGTTTTCCCAAGCAATCTAGTCAGTCTCCTGACTAAAGCTCCACCATTACCTTCGAAAGGAACTAGGCTTTATGATGCCTACGTACTTAAAATCCGTTTTTCGACAGTTTGTCCCATTAGGTGGATCAATTTTACAATAACTGAGAGAAAACTTTGAAAAAAAGATGTATCAGCTCAAGTTGCCGAATTTCAGAAAACTGTAAGAGTAGAGTAAAGAAATTTCTAAAAAACTACGGAGAGTGGAAATAGACGAAAGAAAATGATAAGATAAAGAGTAATGAGTTCCCAAACCTGATTGATGATAGTGGGTAAGTACAAGGATAGAACTGCGAACTACCCAAATCATTTACCGACAGTCCCCAACCACCGATTTTTAAGATAATAGCTTTATTCCAAAACAGTACTTGTGATACAGAATGGAATTCTCAGCATTTTAGCATCCAAAGTTTTTAACCAGACAGTCTGTGCCTGCCTAAAACCAACAACAAACTGTTTCACCAGTTCGTGTCACTTTTTCGTTTGAATCTCAACTTTCCCGACCTAATTCACTTTCAGTTAACATTACTCACAGTGGGAAGCTGGAGTTTACCATGAGAAATACATATCCCAACCATTTCAATCAACGGGGCTTCGCAGCTTCGTTGACTGGTCTCCTCTCCTTGCGTCACAATCTACACAACCTTATTATTAACTACATTGCTCCGCTTAAAGTGGGGTCTAACAGAAGCTACAGTCTAATACCACTCATCTTGTAAAGGCAATGCCACTTCGATATTAGGAGAGTGAATTACTGCATATAACGCACACACGCTTGATAAACAAAGGTATATGACAGCCGTTCTTAAAATAATACAAGTTTGTGACTAACTGGTTTCAACATAGAACTTTGCACCGATGTGCAGCAATTCGAGACTCCACACTCCATGTAGCGCACAAAGCAAGGGAAGAAAGTACAAAAAACGCAAAACAGAGACAGTAAACAGAGATGAGGCAGAAAGAATAGTAATACCGAAGGACAATATTGGGTATTATAAGTCACAAGGAGTAAATGTATCTACACCAGCCAATGAGAACGATTTTGAGCCATATCATCAATTGTCTCCAGCCATTGGTGTTCATCGTCTCGAGGACTCCAACCAGGAAGTCTACATCTTCCTAAGTGGCTTAAACTAACTGTTGTGGACTCCATTGACTGATGAAGCCTTGTTTTGGTTTGACCACCACTAGCTAACTCTTCTCCAACCTGATCAATCCTATGTCAGCTAATACTGCCCTTCGAGGAAGGCGATGGATAGGCATACGTAAAACACGTCCTAACCATCTCACTTTGTGAACGCCAAACGAGTCTTTTGTATACAAGGCAGTCGAAACATTCAACCAATTCATTTCTTACCCTTGAAGTAAGGGTCAGTGCGAAAATGTTCTACAGCACCACTAACCGGGGAGACGCCTCAACGCTGTTTCGCAAAGCACTACCACATTTCTCGACTGGTTATATATCTCTGAACCACATTTTTAACAATGACTTTGTTTAGGGAAGGAAAGGGATGAGTCTGTCTTCTTTTAAGTGCAGGAATTTGTAAGCATAATATACACCATTAACGTTCTTTTCAAAACCAGTCACTTTTTAAACAGAATGGAAATTTAAAACAACTCTTCGAAAGACATGGCACTAAGCAACCCATGTGATACATACACAAGTACACAAATGTATAAAGATTACAACTTGAAACAATCTATATCGTCAGTATCAACAAACTTAAGTCAACGTATAAGCAGGAGTTGATTACTATGTTAAAATAAGTGACAAAGATCATTTGTGCGAGAAGAGATATAACAGACATTAGTTTAGTATGTGGAAACAGTACATTCAAAGTACTCTTACGAATTTGGAGTCACACTGTCTAGCCCACATATCTATTTATTAGGATTGCCTCACTGGTGACAACTGCAATAAATGCAATCACTTAGTATGAGAATCATTTCGTACATTCACGGATGTCACATTTCTACCCCGTCTGTCTCAGTATCTCAGCACCAAATAGCCCTCCGGATGGGACATTCCAGCATGCAGAAACCACCTCAAGCTATTTGACGCAAGAAAGTGATTCAATTCTCTTACTAAAGATAGTCCACTCTATGTACTGCTCATTACCTCACGGAAGCAATAATGTAACTCCCTACTTAAAACAGCTATTTTTCCATCCATATTTCTCCAACTTGCTCCAATTATTGTGCTGACACGATATTACACTGCAAATGACAATTTACTTACGGGTGCAGAAGTGGACTAGTTAGCATGTTTGAAAAGTGGCCGCCGTAATTAGAGAATTACACCATGAATTCTATGTAATGGTAAAGTTAAATTAGTTTCTTATTTCGAATATTTTGAGGTAGCTTATGCTGTCTAAAAGCCGGTCGTATACACGAGCATCAACACAGTTTCCAAGGTATCTTCATATGAACTGTAGGCTTAAAGTAAACTCTGTCATTTGTGATATGCAGATAAATAATTACACTTCCAGAATCAGTCATAGCTAAAAAGATCACAGGTTACTAGTATTTCACCTTAGTTTGGGCCAGTCAACTATCGGGAGACGCACCGGTATATAGGTGGATGACATCATAAGATAAAAGATTGATTCGAATCAATACATCAGGACCCTGATGTATTTTGACACTAATACTTTCATAAGTCTAGATGGGAAACGTGAAAAAGCATTCTCCCGTCAAAAAAGGCTAAGATTGTGACATTTCAACTTCAAGTTGTGTTATATTAGCAGGTGATAATAATGAATAGAGCATTAAGGCTTTAATTAATTAGTTAATCAGTACGGCATTTCACTAGTGCTTATCGTAGTCCTGTGTGACCAAGTTATATTATCCTTGGTGTTCATAACCTAGAAACAGTAGTAACATTTGTATTCTGCTTATTTTCAGGAAGAATGAATAACTTACCATGAGATATTATTGGCAATCGCAACACTCAACCGTCAGTTTGCATGGTGAGAGCAACCTTGGCAGCCTGTAGACGGCCGTAATTTTGAGTGACCGCGAATGAGATAAACAAGCGATTTGCTCGCTCGTGATTGGCCAGTTTGTCATTTTAGTTGAGGTAATTTCAAACATTATTTTGCTGCTTGGTTAAGTACTGAATTTCCGGGATCGTTTTATCAAATTTGAGAGATAACTGACAACACAAACTATTACAGCTCAGGAAAGAAATGATATACCGGTGGATTTATTTGCTGAATTCAACGAATTCATGCCAAATTAAGATCTAAGGACTTCTTAGGGGTGTGAAGAATGCAAACAATGTTCTGAAGAGGTAATAACTTCACGCAACTTCAATTATTGCTTGACCATTATTTTCAGAGATCCTTAAATAAGTATGACATACACAGTGGTCTGGCTAATCATGGTAAAAATGGCATGGTTCATGCAGCATATACATATTCTCATGTATATGTAGGTAAACCTAGATGAACTGTGTTCTTGTCACGAAGATCGGAAAGCAGGTATCAGATGTCTCAGTAAGCAGTGTAATACATGTAAGTTACATGTTTTTATTTGACACAAGCTGGATCTCCACTCACTTTCAGAATTAATCTTGAATTCAGTTGGGATAAGCTGGTTGAGCACATGAGTATTGAGAGAATACAGTGAAAGTAAGTAAACACATGCTTCTTAAGATTAAGTGATACATTTATTTGATATGATTGTATTATTATTAGTTGTCTATCTAAGTTAATGATGAATTCGTTGCGATGATAATACCTATTATTGTTTCTATAGTCGCTATGAACATGAATGTCATTATTATTGCTGTCAAGACCTATTATTTGTCATAAAGTGGTTGTCATTTTTGCTAAAATATTTGTACAAGCTTTGAAAACTACTGCATAACTTGTTGTTAGATAATTTTATCATTTCATGATGCTTCAATGGACCTACTGGATATCGACCAACGATAGGTTGCAAAGTCCCTTAAGTTTAGTGAAAACTATTGGGCTACTTATATATATATATATTGTTTGTAAAGTGATTACTTGTAAATGCTTATCAGGAAAATTTTTTATTCAGATCATGCATGTAATACCCAAGTTAATTATGCTTTTCTTAAACCTTTTCAGACTTATGGAAAAACATATATGTGCCGTGTTCTCAGATGGAACTTACTGACGGTAACAGAGGACTACTCATCTGAATTATCTGTACATTTGAAATCTGATTTTTGTTTAATAAACAATTTTTCAATGAATCTGTGTTCCTTCTGTTGTAATGCGATTGTGTTCCAGTAACATAAGGGGCACGTGCTAAGTTAGAAGTTGAGGGTAAACTGTTAGGAGTAAATGCGGCGTCTGGAAGACTTTTGTTTACGTGATTATATGAGCAGATAGCAACGTATCGTGTTCTTTGGCTGATAACCCTAGGCATTCTGTTTTTAATTATTACGATAACCGTAGTTGCACTGAGTTATACATCTAACAGCATAGGTATAGTCTCTCCTTATGGTACATTGCGACATGCAGAAATCACAAGCAAACTATCTCAGGTAGATTTATTCTCAATTGGTGACTATGAATCGGAATCAGTTTACGTATTCTGCTATGACGATATATAACTCGAAACGCTTTATAATCGCAAGACCTCTTCTACGGTTTAGGCATATTTACTTTATTTGACTACAACATAATCTTTTACCAATAGGCTTTTCCAAATATCTGCTCCTACTTAGTATTTCAAAGATAGCCTCATATACTCTACAATTCACATATTACGCAAGGGCTAATATTCGGTCTTATCAAGTAGAATAAACAAACGATTAACGAGGAATACATTTATTAATGAATTAACATGTAATACAAAATCGACAACAGTGCAGGTATCTTTTTCTTTATCACCCAAATCCATGAAATTCCCGAAAGTAGATATCATCTGAAAAAGAACATAAAAATTATACAGATGTAGACATTGTTATCAGTGTAAACACAATAATTAACCATGAAATATGTTTGAAATGACGAAATAATTAGTTGAATTGTATATAATTACGTCAGTAAACATTTTTCAATAATACAAAATCGATATTGCATCTGCCTGCAAACGTCAAGTTTATGCCATAAAATAAGGAAATACTATGCGTATATAATTTCTAAGTATTTCTGCAGATTTTTCCTTAAAGAAATACATGTGGAGGAGCCTTGTCAGCATTAGGAAAAGTACAAAACAAAGTAAATGAAATAATCACCAAAACGAGCTATCCCACCTCATCATGTCCATGTGTAATCCATTAAAATGCAAAAAAATTCACGAAATGGTCGTTATAACATATGTCTTCAAGTAATTCGACATATTCTGAACGGAAAAGTACGTTTTTACAACAAACTGCAAACTGCCTGTAAGCTACGGCCGGATAAGGACACCACCATTGCCTATTTCTGCTAAATACGCCGTATTTCATCAACTTTTAGCTGGAATATATGTAAAAAAGTGTGTAAAACAACGAAAAATGACCCAACCTTGACGTCTTTTCCAAAAATAACGCCAATATCCATCAGCTGATCAAATGACCTACGGCCGTCTACAGGCTGCCAGCAACCTTGAACGAAGTGAGGTAAATGTGAAAATCTAAAATTCATTCAATTCCCAATTGAGCGAAGTAAAGAGAATGTAGGACATAAGACTTAGAAGGCTATATTCACCTAAGTCGCACTATGGAAATGTTGGCTTTTGTAAGAGTTCACGAAGGAAACAATGTCACTAGTTTGACAGTGATATCCAGCAACTGGTAAACTTTCAATAGGACCTGAAATCCACCAGTATTTCTTTTACCAACTGCTTTTGAACCTTTTGATGCAAAGCCCTCACAGAAATATGAATGGACAGTAACACGAAGTTACGCCAGCATATATTTCATTGTGAGATGCAGTATACCAAGTGGGACAACGTAAATATCTTAGACCTACATCCCTTTTTGATGGAGGAGACTAGAGGACTATCGTCCATAGCCTATCCCGATTTTTCTGCGATTAAATGTACGTTTGCTAGGCGATGTCTCTCAGGTGTGAAACCGTGCTGCTGTTCTAGCAGCAAGCTACATATTTTCATGTGAGTAAATAGCTTGCCACTTGCAATCATTGTAATAACTTAGTGAACAAATATGTTAGACTAACTGGATAGTTAGTCGACACTATTTATCTGTAGTTGTCTTCAAAGGTAGGTCTTTCGATGACGTCTCTTCATTCCCTAGCCTAACAAAGAAACATGTGAATTAGACAAGAGAATGCAAGTAATAACAAATTCCACTGCCTCATAGCAATACGGACCTTGACGAGCTTTTCGATTGCTACCAAATTGTGAACGGGTGAGTCAGTGATCTACTCCGGTCACCCAGAAGATAACCACACGCACACCGAGGGCGTGGCTATCATGATGTCACCAACGCAACGAAGGCCCTGATGCAGTGGGAAGCGATCTCGCTCAGGATAATGACCGCCAGATTCAACTCTGAGGGAAGGAAAGTGTCAGTTATACCATGCTATGCACCCACAAACAACGCAGACCTCGAAAAGAAAGAAGAATTCTACAAGCAACTACAGGCAACAATGGACAATACTCCAGCTGGTGGCATCAAAATACTAATGGGAGACATGAACGCCCAACTGGGACCAGACAACACAGGAAGGGAACTCATCACGGGTTGAGAAGCTCTCGGAGAAATGAATGAAAATGGAGAGCTCTTCGCTGACTTCTGCGCCTTCAACGAACTAGTGATTGGTGGCAGCGTGTACAAACACAAAGATATCCACAAGGCTACATGGGCGTCACCATATGGGCAGACCAAAAACCAAATCGACTTCATCTCAATAGTGCTCAAGGAAGTGGAGGCGCAGCCTACTGGACACAAAAGTAAGAAGAGGAGCAGACGTTAGCTCAGACCACTATCTCGTACAAGGGACAACCCAAATCAAATTAAAAGCTTACAGGGAAACAGGAGCTGAGAATAGACCACAAGGCAAGTTCAACACTCAAAAACTGAAGGAGCAAGATACAAAGGACATCTTCATCGCAAGCATTAGGGAAAAAGCCGAGACACAAATGAACACTAGTGAAGAGGTCGGCGTCCAAAAGCACTGGGATAACTTGAAAACGGTGTGTAGTCGAAGCTGCATGGAAGTTCTGTGCAAAAAGAAGAAACGGGATAAACATTGGCTCACTACGGACAGCTGGAGACTGACAGAAGAGAGAAGGATGGTGAAGCAAAAGATTATCCAGTGCACCGACGAGCAACAAAAACAGGAGTTGAATGCACGCTACAATACGCAGAACAAAAGAGTGAAGAAGAGTGCCAGGGAAGACAAAAGAAAATACTACGAAACCATGGAAAGTGAAGCATAACGAGCTGTAGGCAAAGGAGACCTCGTCATACTCTACTAAACAACTAGGCACCTATCGGGTAAAACTTCGACACAGATTAAGCCAGTAAAGGGTGACAATGGAAAGTCAATCACCAAAGAAGTGGAGCAAAGAAAACACCTGACTGAATGCTTCAAAAGACTTCTAAATCGACCGCCGCCTACAACGCGTCCAACAATACCAACAACGGAAGCGGATCTACCAGTGAACATCGACCGCCCGACGAAATCAGAAGACCTGAATGCAATCAAGATGCTAAGAGCTGGAAAAGTGGCAGGACCAGATGGAATCCCAGCAGAAGCATTGAAAATGGACCCAGAGACAACAGCGGAATTGATGACACCACTACTGCAGAAGGTGTGGAAAGAGGGCAGGGTACCTGAGGATTGGAAGAAAGGATACTTATTCAAACTGGAACTGAAAGGAGACATAAGTCAATGCATAGACTGGAGCGGAATTATGCTCCTGTCCATTTCAAGCAAAATACTAAGTCGCATCATCCTGGAGAGGATCAAACAAGCCCTGTGTCAGCCACGTCTCGTAAACCGTTAATACCCAGCTCTTGCTACGCTCGGGCTCACGCTGTCGCTTGAAGTTTCTCAGAAACGCTTAGTAATAATGGACGAAAACACCAAAACACCAATTGTTGACTTGAGTATT